TTGCCCTTCGGCGTTCATTTCTGCCCTTCCAACCATTACCTGCTTTGTTGAAAGGCTGATGCGTTGGTTTCAGATTCAGTTCTCTAACCTGCATGATATTGTAACGGCAGGGTTGATTAAATAAATTATCCTAAACTTTATCTGTTACCTCGTTGATGTTTGTTTCAACGTTTATTACTGCTAGCTTCTTTAAGAAAGCCTACAGATCGAATCGTAGTTCTCCACAAAGCATTGATCTTTCGAATCCCTTTTAATTCGTTGTTTTTTGAATCGTATCTGTGGAATGTCAAAACCTCTGACCCTGCACTTGATGATGTTTTCGTCAAGTCTGACCAATGACCGATAAGTCTGACTTTATTTCTTTTCTCTTACGTCAGTCGATTTCGTTCAAACAATTTTCGCGATACTGTCGCTTTCGAACATTGTGAAAACGGTATTCATTACTTTGAGGTTGTTGCTCTCAACCAAAGTTACGATTGAGATCCACGTTCATTTCTACTGTATTTATCGATCAATACATCCGTGTCGTTTGCTTATTTCTCTACCACTGTTTTGAAATCTCCTTGGATAATCGTGTACATAGTCTTCGTCTCCATTGCACCCTTCTGTTCGTCGTAGAAGTCTTTCATCTCTTCGATCAAAAATTTGGTTATTTTTATTGTTTGTCTTTTGTCCGTCCGTAGAAGTAAAACTGCTTTACCATATGGTATAATATCAGGTGATATAACGGTATATTTAAGCCAACGCCGTCGGCTCGGTCCGAGCTCTGTTTTCCAAGGTCTTCGCAATGAGAATTTTGTAGATCTTCGATCTTTTATATTTCAATGATCTTCTCTTTTTCCGGGATGCAAGCATCTCGATAAACTTATGTTTCGATGTCGTTCGTCCTATAATGACCAACTAAAAGGATATTGATAACGGAGCACATTTTGCGGTTTACCGAAGACTTCACATATTTTCCTCGTTTTCCGTTTATCTCTGAGCGTTTGTTTTGGCGAGTAATTGTTTGGCAGTTTCAGGGCGCTAACTTTCTAATTTATTGATAAGATCTTTTTGTCCTTCATTCAACCCAACGAGTTCATAGAAATGCAGCACTTTGTGAGATTTTGGTCGCGAAGTAACATAATTGCCGAGTGGCTTGCAGAACCAACACCTGAATCTATCGCAGTTAACTTCCGCAAAATTTTCAGGGTCTCACGTAGGAGGAGTTGAGCGAATATGCGTAATGGCTTATAATACAGTAATTCCTTCGTGCGTTGGTAGTCATACTGTAAAAATAGTATCAGTGTAAGTAAGCCGTGCTTTACGCCATTTTTCAGCATAGCTTATAATATTATATTGAGTATTCAATTTCAAAAGAAAGAAAACGACAAAGCTGCTGAAATGGGCTTTCTTAGACGAGTCGCTGGCCTTACCCGTCTCGACATGATCCGGAACACTGACATCCAGAATAGCCTTGGTATACAGCCTTTGCTTCTCCAGAGTGAGAAGTCGCAGCTGCGACGGTTTGGCCATGTGTTGCGGATGCCTCCAGAAAAGAAGGCTAAGCAACAGTTTCTTGTGAAACCGACCGGCAGAAGGCCCAGGGGACAGCCAAGATTAACCTGGTGCAAATATATGGAAGGAATCTGTTCCAGACTCCATTTGTCTTTTGCCGAAGCT